ACGATATTCAATTGGGTGTGTCGACTGAAACTCCTTTCAGACTTGCTTACTGTTAGTCTGCTGGTTTAAGGGTAGTTGAACCCTTTGAGGCCAATTACTTGATACTGGTGAGGCTTTAAATCTCTCAGTTTCCTTTTCACTATGTAGCCCAACCTTCTGTCGACAGGAGACATTTCCTGATGTGGGTAATTGCTCCGAAGGTCACGTACTGGCACAGGTGTACATTCGAAGGGAATGGGTTGCACCACAACATTTGCCTTTTCATCACTCCAGTAAGGTTCTTCGTTTGAATAGCATAGCTCAGTTCCTTGTGTAGCCGATGATTCAAGTTCCATGGACAGAATGTCCATGTTGTCAACATTGCAACACTCATTTTCTACTTCAGCTTGTTTGTAAACATCAAGGCTAACTGCTGCCCTCTCGTCTTCCATTCGGGCCTCCATAAACTCCTTTTCATACCGTAATTCTAACATTTTCCGTTTTAATTCTTGCTCCTTTAGTAACTATTTTGTTTTCAACTGTGCAAGAGCCAATTTCTCCTTTTTCTTCACAACTGACGACGAATATTAACTAGAATATGACGATTTACTTTAGTGACTTATCCTAGATTTCCTGGTCAGTGATAACGACCTCTCGCTCAATTCTTTCGATTCAAGTTTTGACTTCTTAATCCAGGACTCAATAAAATTGTCAAAGGTTAATTTCCTCGACATTTGTTCATCATAACTAACGCAAGCTTTCACAAGCTCTTCATCATAACAAAGTACTTCAAGACATTCAAGGTACTGTTCGTGAGTACTTACGAATTTGCGCCAAACTTCGTCATACGATTTTCGCTTGGACTTCAAATCCTCCAAAGTTCCACAGTTTTCCATAAGCTCTTGGATGTTTCCTTGTAACTTTGTGAGAGCGCCAGTGTACCCGGCTCGAGATTTCAACATGGCTCTCGCCCTTTCAGCTCTTTCTCCTTCCAAATCGCTCCTTGTCTTTGCCATTTTTAAACGTAAACTTCTTCCCAATTGCAGGGAAATTACAACCACCGTGTGACGACGTTTCTCGCAAATATTTTCGACGAGAGTTATCATGAATAGGTAGTGATTTCAGAGACATACTTGTTAATTAGATGCAAGTATTCACTTCAAGCCGTTCCAAACTTGTATGGCGGCAGGAAAGATTAAACACGACGGCCCAAACACATCGAGCGGCGACAACAGCACAAATTAATATACGAGTTTTCTCTCTGTAAAACAGCACGACTTAGCAAACTCGTCGAGCTGCTGGAAATTAAACAAGACGTTCCGTCAAGCGACGGTTCACAAACAAATTCTTTCCTTTCTTGGGAAAACGGCACAACGTTCCAACTCGTCGAGTGGCGGGAAACTAATGCGACGCTCAGTCGAGCGGTCGAGGCAACAGAGTCAATTTCCTCCCTGAGGAAAAACGGCACGACGTTCCAAACTCGTCGAAGCGACAACAAACGATTCAAACAGAAGACTTTCCTGCCTGAGAAAAACGGCACGACGTTCCAAACTCGTCTAGCAGCAACAAACAATTGGAATAGAAGACTTTCATCCCTGAGGAAAACAACACTATAACCTTCTGCAAACGGAGCGCTCCAAATTCGAATTAAACAGTTCTTTAACTATTACCTTTGCGGCTTATTTTAATAAAAAAACGTGCCTTAAGCACATGAAAGAACTTTTTACCCTGATTGGGAATACAGCGACCCATACAGGACGTCAACATACGTAACCAGAGACTTCAAATTCCAAAGGCATGTGGGAAATAACTCACGTGATATTACATAACGCAACAACCGGAAATGAAAATAAGGAAACGGAATTAAAATGGTAGCCACACTTAGTACGTTCCAATTCCACAGCAATAAGGCATTCATCTTCTTCTTCACCATTTTTGAAAAACGGTGTATCTCGTTTGTAAGACGGTTTATTCACCAACTTTGTGTACTTTTTAGCTGTAGTAACCAATTCGATGTTTCGATGTTTTCGCACATTTTTCATAGTCTTTCCAAACACGCTATTGTTCATTAACTTGAAAAAATCCTTTTTAAAGGCGTTAGAAGCCATACTTCGCTTAGAAGTATTGAAATCAATCTATGGTTTCAACCAGGTTTCTTGTTTGAAACTGAGGGCACGGTGGATTTTGACAAGCTTCATACCCTTGTCGAGGCAAGTTTTCAAGTTTCGAGAGTGAAGAATATATTTCTTCTTGTCGTAGAGATTAGGTAGCAGTTTCCCAACCTCAGCTGATTTGTATTCCAAATCTTCAGCCAAATGCCTTGAATAAGGTGAAGCATGTCGGGTGTAATGACTACATTTTCTGAGGCCAGTGGATAATCGTTGTGAAGGTCATGAAGTTCTTTCAGATATTTCAAATCCACTTCGAGAATGTAGCCTTCAGGCGCATCGTCAGCTACTTGCGTGATATTTATTTCCATCAAGTCTTCTTCTGGAACCCATAGAAACTCTCGTACAGGTAGGGGATGACTCATGGCCCAAGCATAAAGATTATTAGCATCAAGATACATGATGAATGAGGTGGGTTGGCTCAAATCGTAATCTGGGAGGTAAGGGTTGTTAGCTTTCGCATGGCGATGAGTAATAATGGAGGTGCCTCTGCGCATACCGGGCCCTAAAAACAGATGTTGATCGATATCTAATATGGTATCCAATTTCACTTCAGTATATTTTAAGGCTGCATCCCACGCGAGGACTGGCGAGGTATAGTAATGCGCGGAATCCAATCCATAAACTTCATAGCATTTATCTCTAAATTGTTCAAAATCATCTGCTAACAACAGTATATCCGTAAGTAAATAGACATCATGGTAATGCCGGAGGGTTTGACATCTCATCTCACGCCAGACGTTCTGCGCATGCTCATAATCCTCATCTTTGACGTCTTCACCAAACAAAATACTGTGGAAGCTTCTTTCGGTGGTAGAGCATCTTCTTGAAACCTTTCAAAGCTGTCCATGTAGTCGTAAGGGTACACGCCTTTCTTTTTCAAGAGGCTCACATCTTCGATAGGCCATACTTCGGGAAATAGCTCTTCTAAGATGGGAAAGGTAGATATGTTGCAGCTAATTTCTCTAGTGGAAAGGGCATGAACTGATTAAAATCCAAGAACCGTAGATGACCAAGGGAGAAGCTGACATATTTTTCGGTGTTGTTAGGTATCACTTGTTAGGTATCACAAATCAGAGTTAGTACTAACTATGTCCAAGTGTTGCAAAGCGCCGGTCTAGACAAACTGCCAAAATGGCACGCCACGTTGTTCCGGATTTTCTTTAAATCTGTGGTCTGCTTAGAGACTTAATGTGGCAGCCTTCTTAATTACAGAGGCTGTGTAAAGGAAGACAAATAAGCAGTTGCCGCAAAGAGTGACTTCTGACTAACCAAGCGCGAGGGCCGTACTGAAGATAATTGGCCCGAAATCGTGGTAGTGCGGAGCTAGCGCAGCGATGTCCGTAAAAAAATGACCGAGGGCCACTATTTCCCTAAACAGCTTAAGCAAGCGATGTTATTAAGTATTCTATCATGGCGTTCGGGAAAGCGTCTCCACTTTTAATTTTTCGGATTTTTGGAGCAAAAATTTACAGCGCATGAACCGCTTCCGAGGAAATGGTCCATCTGACAAAATCCAGACCAATTAAGAAGGTTCGGATCTACCTCACGATTGCCCTGCCATATAGCACTTCGTTAAAACCCTCAAGCGAGAGGTATTTTCATCAATAGTTACATTCCTCACTGAGCTTTTTTGGTTCAAAATACCTGTCCTTCCAACTTTTTACCTCGTGCGTCCTTTTTCCAGTTAGAAAACCATTGTATAGAAACAGATGATCACAAGATTGTTGTTGTTTTCTTTTTGTAAACGTGTGGTCCTTAACTCAATCGTGTTATTTTTGCTTAGCGTACTGATTGACATTCCTCTTTTTGGATTTTGAAGTTCAAAAGGTGTTGAATCGATGTCAGTGGCTAATGCTAAATTTCCTTATGGTTACATTATTTTTACGACTCACGGTTAAAATTTGTCAATTTTTACGCCTAGCGACTAATATTTGCCGTTTTGAGGCTAACAGTTAACCCCAGTGAGACCCACTAAAATCTGGCACCTGGCCAGGGGATTTGAACATGATTTTGGCTCAGGAAGGCTAGAACCAATCTTTAAAAGTTAAAATTACTGAGGGGAGGCGAAGTTGAAGCTTTTAATTGATCGACGGACCACTTTTTTTCTTCCAGCATAATACTTTCAGTATCCCTCCGTCAAACGTTGTCATCTGTTTGATAATCACCGAGCAAAACCGTGCCACAGTCTTCTTTCACCCACGACTGAGTCTATAATTTTCCATAAGGGTTTTCAACGGGGCTGGGGGTGAGTCCTCCTATAGTTGTATCGCTGCTTTTCAGTGAAACACTCTTCCAAGGTAACAATAAAATGTGTTGTTGTGATTGAAATTATTTCCACCTTGCGTGACAAACGCTTGAGTATGTTAAATCTACATTAGTATCAGATTGCTTCCCATCTTCAACGTCTTGGGCAAAGGAAAACAGACGCCCTCCTCTAGTTTACGGAATGTGTTATTAGAAACAATTTCGCAATGGGAAATGGAGGACTTGAAACGAGAGCGGGGATAAAAACCAATCTGCCGTCGTTAGCTATGCAAGGTTAGCTTACTGTATTGAATTCCTGATCGATTAGGGTGCGAACTTCTAAAATGTGCTTGTAATTCCAGATTTAACCACGGGGTGCCTAATTAGATTACGTCGTGACGTAAATACGATGTTGCGATTTTCACAAATTCAGCCTAGTTTTTCCGTGTGGATATGAAAAGCCCCAATCTAATTTTTATGTGGGGAAAATTATAATTGAATATTTGCTACAAAATGCTATAATTGGATTTTGAAATATTGGTGGTTTTTAAAAGCGTTCCGTGAGCTCAAAATGCAATGAAATGAGCTAACCGTGAAATGAAAAGA